TGCAACCATTCAAGAGGCAACACTTGCCACAGACAAGCAGTAGGTGTGTATTGAGTTTTCAAAATAATTAATTGTCAATGTTTATTATAATCTACCTGAGACAATTTTATTTCAGTTTAATGCAATATTAACCTTTTCTAAAGCTTCTTTTCCCTCTGTAGTTAATGATCTACTCGAAGTTGGAAAATTATCTCCTTTTAAAATTTCAAACAGAGGTTTTAAATCTTGGGTGGTTAATTTTAAAAATGGCCTGATCCAGTTAATATCTCCTAGTAACTTTTGAAAATCATTTAAAGTGTTTAATTGATCATGTCTGGTTTCTATCTGTTGCGTCTGAACTATTGGTGAATTTATTATTCTGCCTAAATAGTTAAATGGAGGATTTTCTTGAACTACTAGCAACTACTAACCCATATTTGTTTAGTTCCTGAATCATTACTTTGAGAATTTCCTGTAGTATTTCCCTTTTCTTTATGAGCTACTAAAATGTTATCCATATAGTGAATAATATATGCTGAAGGAAAAAGATGTCTGGTATTTTTCAATGCAGTATCTATAAACTTCTGACATAAGGTGGGACTGTTTTTCATACCTTAGGGTAGGAATCTTCCATTGGTATCTTTGAATAGGGCTTTTGCAAATTGGGTGATGGTAAACTAAATGCAAACCTTTTGCAATCATTTGGCGATGGTGGAATGGTGAAAAAACAATCTTGCAAATCTATTATAATAATCTGATAACCTTTAGGGACAGCAACTGGAGATGGGAGGCCTGATTGTAAAGCCCCCATAATTATCATAGTTTTATTTATTGCTCTTAAATTCTGTAATAACCTCCATTTACCTGATTTTTTCTTGATACCAAATATTGGAGTATTCCATGGACTATTAGAGGTTTCTATATGCCCTAATCTCAATTGTTCTTTAACTAATTCTGAGGCTGCCTGTAACTTTTCTTTGGTTAATGGCCACTGTTCCACTCAGACAGGTTCATCCGATTGCCATTGTGTTGGATCAGTATAATAAGAAACAGTGGCCATTGTCATAAAAATTAGGTTCTTTTGGTTCTGTTACTTCAATTGTCATATTCATTTGTGATAAAATGTCTCATCCCCATAGTGAAAAAGGTAACAAAGGAATTATATATGGTTGAAATGTTCCTGACAATGTATTATCTTTCCGATGCAATATATTTGCACTCTTTGCTATATTAGATGCTATGCCTAGTCCAATTAAAGTAGTTGAACTTTGAGAAGTTGGCCATGTATTAGGCCAGTCCCTACTTGCTATGCATGAAACATCTGAACCCGTATCTATTAACCCTTCTATTTCCTTTCCTTCTACTAGAAGTTTCTTCATAGGCCTGTTCTTTTTTATTTGTTGAACCCATGCTAGTAAGTCCATAGAACCAAATCCTTCTTCTCCTCTATTCTCCTTTAAGTTTATATTTGGTGTCGTTAAGTAGGGTAATAACAGTAATTGTGCAATTCTTTGACCTGGATATAATTGTAAAGTCTTCTTCAGAAGATGTAACATAATTTTTATCTCTCCAGTGTAATCAGCATCAATAACTCCAGGTAATATTTGAATTCCTGCTGTAGAACTAGAGCTTCTGCCAATTATTAGTCCCATAGATTCTTTCAGTAAAGGACCATAAATTCCCATAGATATCAATGTGTCCTCATCTTCTGGAGTTATAATAGCATGTTGCAAAGCCGGTAAATTTAGTTTTGCACTTCCTAGGGAGGATCTCGCCAAATCATGGATGGATGGCTTTTTAGAGACTGTTGTCGGGGTCTGGGGAGACCCCCAATACACGTTTTTTTGTTCATTCAAAATACATGTGCATTTTGTTCAATACACATTTTGTTAAATGACTCGGAGTCCCTACTGGAGCATGAGGTGCAGAATTATTGCTTTCTAATGGATGGCCATCTTTATGGTATTTAGATCTACATTCATTGGCCCGGTGAAATCCCTTCTGGCATTTTGGACATAGAGATGAAGGTTTTGGCTGTGGAGGCTGACCTACATTTGGTGAATTACTATTAACTTTATTTGGACATTCTTTACTAAAATGCTCTGGTTTTCTAAAATTGTAACACCCATTACCTGTTTTTCATCCTTTATTATTTGGATTGTGTATCTCTTTTAGAAATTGAGTGTAAGATTTTCCTTTTAAAGCTGTAGCTATCATTACTCTTTGTACATAAACTGGAGATGCTTCTATGCAAGTTCTAATAAAATCACTAATATTACCTGTCCTCTGTACAGGTCTTAACAATGCTTGGCAGGTAGGGTTAGTATTCTCAAAGGCCAATTGTTTCCAAATCAATTCTGCCGCCTCAGGATTATTTATGGCTTTAGAAACATTCTCTTCTAGTCTGGCTAGAAACTCTTCATAGGGTTCTTCGGGGCCCTGCTTACTGTTACTTAAGAAAGTTGTTTTTGGTTTCAGATGAAGGTAGCTGCCGCCAGGCAGTAACTGCAAGTTTTGATACTTCCTCTAGCACAATTCTCAGTAGCTCACGTTGAGCCTGTGGTTGTAAAATATTCTTCACTTCCTACAAGCATAGAGCATGTAATTGTATCTCTAGGCCTCTTTAAAATTTCTCTCTGAGCTACTGCTTTAGCTCGTTCTTCATAATCTGCTTTCCATAGTAAATATTGTCCTGCAGGCAAACAAGACCTAGCAGTTTGCTGCCAATCAAAGGGCGCCATTCATTCACTAGCAATAGAATCAACAAGCTGTAAGGTATAAGGTGATGATGAACCAAAATCTTTCACCGCCATTTTTGATTATTTTAAAAGCTTAAAGGGGAGAGGTTCCCATTGCGGTGGTCCCTCATCACCGGTGGACAATCTTGGAAAACACCCGAAGTCATTCCCACCCATATTTCTAGCTTGCTGAACAGCTCCCAAAAAACCAACCTTTGTTGGAACTATTCTTGGTCTTTGGGGGCAGTAGGAGCAGAAGCCCCACCAATGCATTAAAGGGCTCAAGATCATCACTGTGGTGATACTGAGCCGCAGCATCGTCCAATTCCTGCTGATAATCTGGGGGTGAGAGTGCATCCCCAGGATCTAAATGTGTTCCTGATTTCATTGGAGAATCTTGCTTATTAATACTAGCATAATTTTTAACCTTTTTTAGTTCTGAAAATAAAGGTATTGACTCTTCAGTAACCTGTTTTGCTAAGCAAACGGCCTCATATGTGGGATCAAACTATCTTTTAAAGCATTCCATGAAGAAAAGGCACCAATAGGCACCTTTTCAGGTCCGTGAACAGAATAATAATTTTTTATTTCTTTTCCTAACCTTAACTAGGTATCTAAATTCAAAGTACCTTCCTCCGGAAACCACGGAGCACATTCTTGTACAAAATGAAAAAATTCTCTAAGCTGTTTACTTGAGACATGAATACGTCTTTTATTTAACATATGTTTAGTTATATCAATAAATAATCCTCTTTCCTTAGATTCCGTATGTCCCATGATTATCCGCCCCTCTTCCACTTAGCCTTTTGCTAAAGGGTCTGCAGCACCCAAACGGCGAGAGCCTCATCCTTTCTGAAAGTATATACACTTACCTTCAGGGCCCTGTGCGGGCGCCACTTGCCGCGGTCCAGCTGCAGCAGGGTCCGGGGGGCCCGAAGGTGGTCAGGCGTCGGCGCTGGGAGACAGACGACTACACGACTCAGAGGAAGCGTGACACTGTTCCGATTTATTGCAAGTTTCTATGTGCATATATGCCTTCTTTTTTGGCATGAGTTTGACATTTGAGGTTAAAGAAGCAGGGAGTTTCATTCCATAGTACCAGGATGTTAGTTTTATTTTTATCAGAATTAATTGATAACTTTTTGTGTTTATAGATACAAAGAAGGGGGTAGAGTAACCTGTAAGGTGAGACAGAGTTTTCTATAGGCCCTTTGTCTGAGATTAAGAGTTGACCTTTATTTAAAATCTAGTTCTAGGTTTTTAGATCAGCTAATTTTTTATTTACCTCCCTAACTAACTCAGGGCAACATTTCTTACAAAACCTATTCAATTGCAATGATCGAGATTTCTTTTGTTCCTTTGTGCGTAAGCACCAAGGGGGACCTTGGCGTGCCAATTGCTCCATGAAGGCAAGCTTGCATAAGGAACACGTAGTCCGTCTTTGTTAACTATTCTTATACCATCTTCATTATATGCTCTTGTAACGGGCAAGGGAGGGTCAGGAATCCTTTGCATACTGCTAGCCCCTCTAGGTGGGACCATAGTTTTCCTTTTATCCAATAAGCTATATAAGGAAACCCTTGAGCAGTGGGTAGGGGTCAATACACTTTTCTTTTATTCTCTTGAAATACTCTTTCTATCTGGGGAGGAGGACAGGAGTATAAGGTGCCTCCATTAGTTCTACCTGTCACAATTCATCCATGAATTGTTTGTTAGGGACTTTCAGGGGAAATTTTTTTTTACTTAATTTAATTAGTAAATTATTAAGACAGTCTGGACATGCAGTGGTGACTGTTTCCGGGGAAGCTGGGGTTTCTTTAATTGAAGAAGCATGATTTCAGATACCTTGTTTGTTATTCCCAGGTTAGTCATATAGTAGAATAATAATTATTATAATTCCCGTAATTCCGATTAATCCCACCCCCATGCTACGTCCTCTTCCTAGAAGATGCATCCTTGAAGCTTTCTTCTCCATATCTGGACTTTGTCAGACAACATGGTTGGAAGAGGACACGGCAGATGTCCTCGGGTGAGGCTAAAAAAAAAAGAATCTAAGGGGAGCCAGGCCAGCGTGGCTCAGTGGTTGAGCATCGAGCCATGCACCAAGAGGTCGCTGGTTTGAATCCCGGTCAGGGCACATGCCCAAGTTGTGGGCTCAATTCCCAGTGGGGAACATGCAGGCGGCGGCCAGTCAATGTTCTCTCTCATTGATGTTTCTGTCTCTCTCTCTCCCTCTCCCTTTATCTCTCTCTCAAATCAATAAAGAAAAAGAATCTAAGGGGAGTGCTCATCAGCAGCACATACACTAAAATTGGAACAGTACAGATAAGATTAACATGAGCCCTGCCTGAAGATGAGGCACTAATTCCTGAAGTGTTCCATATTAGGGGAAGAGGAGGAGGGGGAGGGGGAGGGGGAGGGGGAGGAGGAGGGGGAGGGGAGGGGGAGGGGGAGGAGGGGATTCTAAAGGGATGCATTAGTTTGCTCAAGCTGCTGTAACAAAGTACCACAGACTGCATAGCTTAAACATCAGAAAAGTATTGTCTCACAGCTCTGAAGGCTAGAAGTTCAAGATCAGGTTATCAACAAGGTTAATTTCTACCAAGGGTTTTCTCCTTGGCTTATATATCCTGCCTTCTCGCTGTGTCCCCACATGGTCTTCCCTCTGTGTTGTCTGTGCCCTGAAATCTTTTTATAAGGACATCAGTCATTAGATGAGGACCCACCTCCAAGGAACTGATTTAATCTTAATTACCTTTTTAAAAACCCAGTCTCCAAATACAATTACATTCTGAGGTACTTGGGGTTAGGACTTTAATGTATGAATAAGGGAGGGGGGCACAATTCAGTCCATAACAGGAACTAAGACATTAAATAAAGTACTTGCTTCTAATGTTTGGACCTAAAATGAATGGAATACAGTAAGGCTTTAGGATGCCAAGAAAGAAAAAAGGGAGGGAAGGAGAAAGGAAGGAAGGAAGGAAGGAAGGAAGGAAGGAAGGCAGGAAGGAAGGAAGGAAGGAAGGAAGGAAGGAAGGAAGGAAGGAAGGGGCTTGATGAATGACTGGAGCCTAAATTGGTCCAAACAACACCTTGTTTAATGAAGGAATTCACCCTATCTGTGCCTACTAAGAGAAGGAAAAAGACTAAAACAAGAAAGGATAGTGAAAGTTGGATAATCCCAGCAGGTAAGGCCACTCATCTTTGCCTGATGTGCCCTGGACCATCCAATAGTGTCTTGAAGCTGTGGTCACCAGGCTACCAGATGTTCTGTTGCTCTGAGGCTATCAAAGGAACCATACACTAGGCAGATCCCAGAAGAAAACTACCCCCTAAAGAGTTCTTTTAAACTTACACCAGAGACTTAATACAAATTGAGCAAAAAAGAAAAAGATGAATTTGCTATTCTCGAAAGGTATTAACGGTTCATTGCTGACCACTGTGGTCTGCATGTCTGTGGAAGGGTAGAACCCTAAGCTGGTTTTCATGCCCTGATATAGTCAGCTAGGGACACAGAGGACAGCTCACCCTGCGATGTGTCCACTGACGCAGCGGCCTGTTGTTTCACGGGCCGATCCTGAGCGACACTGTTAACAACCATTGGGTTAACTCCTAATCTATCATTTTGTCTTAATAAATGAACAAGTTTCCATTTATTATGATCCCTGGTGCGCATGAGGTTTGTTCTAAGAAGTTTGCATACATTCTCTTATTTGATAATCACCTCTGCAAACTTTTCAACTACATCAATGCTTTGAACAGACAACTATTTTATATAAATCATTATAACATAAGTAAATCATATAAAACATATTTTATAAACATTTTGTTTTATGCTGTTAGAAAAAATTCATAGGCTGCAAATCCAACAGTAAATTATGGACTGAACAGTTTTATGTTGTTTTTGTCTTGCAAGGTGGCAGAGTTGATATAATCAGGCCACAGGGATATTATACTTAACTCACATGCTGTTTAATTTTTTTTTTCACTAATGTTGAATCATACAATGCATAGGGTCACAGACAGTACAACTTGTAGACTCCCATCTTCCTAACACAATAACTGAAGTAGACCTAAAGCAGACATTACTAAGAGCAAATGTATTATTCATTTGTTGGGAAAATACAAAGATAGGATAATACTTGTTATAAGCATGATTCCAACGACTGCTGCAATGGGAAATGCACGTGATGGTCGTCGTTTTTTTTAGCTTTACAAGATTGAAGCTTTGGTGTAAGCTTTTTGTGGGACAATGCTGTCCTCTGGTGGTATATAGGAAGTATTTCACATCAGCTGGAGAGCCTGACTCGCCCAGCCCTTGAAAATGTTCCAGGTCTCCTTTTATCCATTTTATTAGTCCCCTGATCTGTAATAGATACAGAGAATCTGATTTGTATACATAGGAGTTATAGAATCTACATGTTATTCCAAGCTTATGGATGAAGTTGTTTCCAGGCTTCACTGCCTCAGATCCAGACAAGAAGGGACCCTGCTCTGCGCCCACCCAGAGGGTTCAGCTCTGACTTCCCCTGGCTGTGGCCCTCCCTACAGATCAAGGAGTGCTGGGTCAAGGGATGTGCCTGCCCAAAGCCACACCTTTCTCTTCCTGCTCCTTGCCCTCTCTCTGACCTCCACCACTGGTTCCAGTTCCTTGTGGCCTATGAATGTGCTAATGCTCTCATTTTGCCTGAGGTTTTAATGAATAATAGCTGGCTCCCGCTTCCCAGATATCATTAGAGCAGCTTCCCGAAATGTTATGACACACCCCTTCCCAGCAATAGTAAGAGTAAAAGGGAATTTTACAATGCAAAAATAGACCCCTGGGAGAATTTTTCTCGTCCATTCAAATTGTATATTGCATCTACAAGAATCCTGGAGTATTTTCCAAACTTAAACCTCTGCTGCCCCCTTCAGAACGGTTGGCATAACATCATGTTCTCCTGCTGCTGTTTACTTCATCACAAACGGTCCATCAAGTTTGTTGGACAAGATAAGTGAGTTGTAGAGATCTGCTGTACAACATCATGCCTCTAGCTAACAATATATTGTACGCTTGAACATTTGTTATGAGGGTAGATTCATATTGAGTCTTCTTGCAATAAATAAATAAAAGCTATTTAAACTAGGAAGAAGGCTCAGCCAGTGTGGTTCAGTAGTTGAGCGTCGACCCATGCACCAAGAGGTCACCGGTTTGGTTCCTGGCCAGGGCACCTGCCCAGGTTGTGGGCCTGATCCCCAGTGGGTGGCATGCAGGAGGCGGCCAATCAGTATTCTCTCTCATTGATGTTTCTATCTCTCTCTCTCTCCCTGTCTCTCTAAAATCAATAAAAAAAATTTTTTTTTTTAGTTTAAAATAGGAAGAGGGGGAGGACAGGAGGGCAGGGAAGGAAGGGAGGAGGGATGGAGGAAGACTATGAGGAGGAGGAATCTGCCTGAATCTGGTCACAGAGACAACTATGAAAGGAGGGCCCGGCATTTCATCTATGGTATCTCACAAATCTTGTGACACATTTTATTTGCTACTTTATCAAATAATAGATAGTAAAAATATCTAACACAGTATATAATGTAAATATATATGTCATAGAAGCACATAAATGTCATGTTTTACATATATAACAAAACCTACTGGATATTAATAACACATACAGAGACTGCAGTCCAGACAGCTGACACTCAACAAGGTGCTGACTGCATGGCAGGCAGGGTTCGGGGTACTTTGTCACTTCGCCATGTTCCCACACTTCATTGTCTCATCACCTCCATGGGTGAATCATTTTATTGGCCCCAACTATCTACAGAAGAGGAAACTGAGGTTCCAAGAAATGAACTTGTCTGAAGTGCGTGACTGAGCTTGGACTTCAGGCCTGTACATCTGCTCTCGGAACACTAATAGAGAAAAGAGACAGTAGAGATAAAAGGAGAAGAAAAAATAAAGCTGAGAAATAGAAGAGAGAGGGGAACAAGAGAAAAGAGAGTAGAGAAATAAGATCGGTAAAAGAGAGGCGAGAGAGAAAAGAAAGAACAGAGGGAAGAGACAGGAGAGGTGAGAGGAAGAAGAGAAAGGAGAGCGTGGAGAGAGGGGGAAAGAGAGGAAGAGGGAAGAGCGACCAAGGCAAAGGCGAGATAAAGGGAGCAGAGGAATTCCACGCTGGCGGCTGCATCTGCTTGCTCCCAGATTCACACTGGACTTACCGCTGAATTGCAGAGCAATCAACTTGGAAAACAAATTGAAGTATAGCTGATCTGAAATATTGTAACCAAGGAGCACAGAAAAAGCCAGAGAGACTAGTAGGAAGGATGAAGATGCACAGAGGGGTAGCCCTTGACGCAGGTGTGGTGTCTGAGAAGCCACCGGGATACTGCGGCTGCAAATCTCCCTCCCCCAGGAATATGGGGTCTCACCTCCACACAGGGATCCCCAACCCAGAGCAACAGAAACAGGAAGAGGAGCCTGTGTAGCATCAGATAGTGGGAATCAGTGGGGATTCTGTCCTCCTGGGAGTGACTGACCGCACCATCCCAGGGAAGGAGCACTCCATTGTTGAGGCACCAGCCTCAGAGTTCGCTCCAGATTTCAGCTGCTGGAGAGGCCACGCTGCTGCACATGGGTCTTGTGCAGGGGTCTGCTGTCTACACCCAGCAGTGACCCTGAGGGGCCCTCTGTGCTCTAGAGAGGCTTTCAGCAGAGACCCAGTCAGTGACAAAATTAGGTCACTTAGTGGGGAAGAATGGTGTCTCCCGCCTTGAGCGCATAGTTGGCACTCTTCCTACCTGTTGAGTTGCTTGGCCTGCCCCATCATGCTGGGTTCAGCAGCACAGAGGAACAGTGCAGGGCTGGAATGTTGGGCTATTCCCACTGGGTTCGACAGCACTGGGGAGCTGGACTTTCAGCCCATCCTGCTGGGTCAGGAGCCTGAGTGGATCTGGGAATTTTAACCCCACCTTGCTAAGACCAGCCGCAGAGAGATTGGAGTGCCATGAAGGGCTGATTTTTGGCCCCCTCCTGCTTGGTTTGGTGGTGTAGGAGTGTCAGGGAGCCACACAGAGCTGGGACCTTTAGACTGTCTTCTGGGGAGGCTTCTGTCCGGAAGACAGACAAGTGAGTGCTAGGCTCTATTGCTACATTGTGAGGAGGCAGATCTGAGCTCCCCTGCCAGTTCAGCCCACGCTTCCCTGGGAAGAAAAGGAAGTGCCTACCTCTCCTACAGGTTGCAGCACCACCCCAATGAGAGACTATTTGGATCAGCCCTACCAAGTTCCAGATACCCCCCACTGGATAGAGTTCCATGGAGGAAGGAGGAGGGGCTCAGAGCAGGGACATTCTAAGTGTAAGACATTCAAAGGTTATTGTCTGGGACTGGGAAGAAGTGTTTAGACCCTTCCTA